CAGTTTTTGGCCAGGGCTGGGTTTGAACCAGCCACCTCTGGCATATGGGGCCAGCGCCCTACTCCTTTGAGCCACAGGCGCCGCCCTTTTCTTGGATTTCTTAGTGACTTTGCATTTTATTCCCCTGATCTATTTGCAAGGCTTATACTGTCTTTATCCTTCAAATTTCAGGAACATTATTTTGATAAAATTTCAAATTTAGAAAAAGCTTGTGTGAATAGTATAAAAACCTCCCACACAGGCTGCAGCTCAAGCAGCTAGAGCGCCAGCCACATACACTGGAACTAGCTGGCGGGTTTGAATCCAGCCCAGGCCCGCCCAACTACAATGACAACAACAACAACAAAAAAAAAATAGCGGGGCATTGTGGCAGGCGCCTGTAGTCCCAGCTACTTGGGAGGCTGAGGCAAAAGAATTGCGTAAGTCCGAGAGTTAGAGGTTGCTGTGAGCTGTGATGTCACAGTACTCTACCCAAAGTGACAGCTTGAGATTGTCTCCAAAAAAAACCTCCCATATAAACATTACCCAGATTAACATTTTGCCCCATTTGTTTTATCATCTCTCTATCTCTGTGCAGATAGTTTCATTCTAATTTTCTTCTTAGACATAAATGTAAGCGTTAAGCACCTTTATCCATAACTATTTCAAAATTTATTTCCTGGGAATTAAGAAAAGTATCTTAAGTGCAGTGATTATAATTGGGAAATATAGCATTGATATAGTCATTTATCTTTGATATGCAAATTTTTATCAATTCTGTTTTTTCCCGATCAAGGATCCAGTCCAGAATCATTTCAGCAATGCCTTTACATTACATTTAACTGTAACATAACTGTTACAGTTTTTCAGGCTTTTTCTTTTTCTATGACTGTCACTTTTTGAAGTTCTGTTTTGTCGAATGCCCCTCAGTTTGGGTTTTTCTAATGTTCTCTCAAAGTTAGAGTCAAGATTTTTCTTTTCTTTTTTTTTTTTTTTTGAGACAGAGTCTCACTTTATTGCCTTCTGTAGAGTGCTGTGGCAGCGTCACACAGCTCACAGTAACCTCCAACTCCTGGGCTTAGGTGATTCTCTTTCCTCAGTCTCCTGAGTAGCTGGGACTACAGGCACTCACCACAACGCCTGGCTATGGTTTTTTGTTTTTTTTTTTAAATTTTTTTGAGACAGAGCCTCACTCTGTCAACCTAGGTAGAGTACCATAGCATCATAGTTCACAGCAACCTCAAACTCTTGGGCTTGAACAATTGTCTTGCCTCAGCCTCCCAGTAGCTGGGACTACAGGTGTCTACCACTATGTCCAACTAGTTTTTCTATTTTTAGTGGAGACAAGGTCTCACTGTTGTTCAGGTTGGTCTTGAACTCCTGACCTCAAGCAATCCACCCACCTTGGCCTCCCAGAGTGCTAGGATTACGAGTGTGAGCCACCATGCCCAGCAGTATTTTCATTTTTTTCTCAGGTCCTATTTTATATCCTTTAATATAATTTCTATCCTCCCACCCCCATATAGGCTTATAGGTCTTTTACCTTGTTACATTTATTCCAAGTTTTTATTTATTTATTTGAGACAGAATCTCACTATGTCACCCTTGGTAGAGTACTGTGGCGTCGCAGCTCACAGCAACCTCAAACACTTTGGCTTAAGCGATTTTCGTGCCTCATTCTCTCAAGTGGCTGGGACTTTAAATGCCCACCACAATGCCCAGCTATTTTTTTGGTTGCAATTGTTGTTGTTTGGCAGGCCCGGGCTTGGTTCATTCCCACCAGCTGCGGTGTATGTGGCTGGCACCCTAGCCACTGAGCTACAGGCACTGAGCCTGTAATGTAGGTTTTTTTTGTTCTTAATATGGTGACTGAGTTATTGATGAAATTTGAGTGCTAACACATTTGCTCTTCCCCTTCACCAGAGTAAGCTGCACATGGAGGGCTTCCGGAGCCTGAAAGAGGGTGAGGCAGTGGAGTTCACCTTTAAGAAGTCTGCCAAGGGCTTGGAATCCATCCGTGTCACTGGACCTGGTGGGGTGTTCTGTATTGGGAGTGAGAGGCGGCCAAAGGGGAAGAACATGCAGAAGCGCAGATCAAAAGGAGACAGGTATGAATTGGAAGGCAGCTTCTGCAGGTTGTCAGGCATGTGCTGAGGATGAGGAGAGCTCTCCCAGTCTTGCTACTTTGTTGGACCAGGCTGTCAGCATTAAAGTGAGGTTTGTGGTTCCTGACAACCTCTGGATGGTTGAGGTGCCAGCCATAGGTGTGAGCAAGGGTAATACGTGAGAAAGGCAGTGGGCATGACTAAGCTCTTCTAGTAAGACAAGTAATTTTGTTCTGTGAGCTCTAGCCTTGATTGTTAGTTGAAGTTAGTGCTACTAACCTCATGATTTTAGAACTAAAGCCGACCATGTATATGTGTGTGTGTGTAAGTGATGGCACAACATGGTGTATCTGTATTTGTTACTCTCTACCAAGTCTCCAAATGGCTGCTTTCCTTAATCTTGCTATTGGGTTTTAAACCTCTTAGCTCGGAGCAGATAATATAATTTGGATTCCTTAATTTCTTCTGTGTTAAAGATATAGTAGAATCTCACATGTCCCCCAAGTTAAAATTCCCAGCTGGGGCCTGGTATCTTGCTCTTTTCAAGTTGATACGAATCTAAAGAGATCATGTAGACTATCTGATTTAGAAAGTATTTAGAGATCATCTAGGAAGTGGAGAATTTGGTCCAGGAAGGGAAGTATGTTGACAAACCTAGACCAGAGCCCACATTTCCTCACTTGTGGGTGGCTTTTGACATCTTCCTGCTTCTTTCTCTCACCTTTACTTACCATCTTGCTTTGTACTAGGTGCTACAACTGTGGAGGTCTAGACCATCATGCTAAGGAATGCAAGCTTCCACCCCAGCCCAAGAAGTGCCACTTCTGCCAGAGCATCAGCCATATGGTAGCTTCATGTCCACTGAAGGCCCAGCAGGCCCCTAGTGCACAGGCAAAGCCAGCCTACTTTCGGGAGGAAGAAGAAGAGATCCACAGCCCTGCCCTGCTCCGGGAAGCCCAGAATTGAGCTGTAATGGGTGGGGGCTATTGTTTTGCTATCAGAAAGTTTCAATGAGCAGGCAGAGTGGAGAAAGTGGGGATAGGGTGGGTTGGAGGTACCTGGCACTGCTGCCTATCTCAGGCCAGGGTTCACAGCATCACTCCTTCTTCCTGTTTGGTGGGGGGAAAGGGTGAGGCAAAGGAACCCTACCCATGTGCTATTCAAATGCAAGGGAGGGCTTTTGGGGGAAATCACCCTAGAACCTGAATGCTTATCTGAGACTTCATTCCCCAGATCTTTAGCTTTTGAAAGTAGCCTGGATAGGGAAATTATTTGCCTTTTAAAGATGGATATGTAATACTATCACTCCCATGCCAAAATGAAACAATTATTAAGTACAAGACCAGACTGATGGACCCCACCCACAAACCCAAACTACATTCGGTGGGAGGGACTCTCAAGCATAAGGCAGGGTTTTTTCCTACATCTTATATTTTTCATACCCATTCTTGAGATAGGGTGCTGGGAACTGTCCTAAGCAATGGGTAGTGATGACAGGCAAAAAGGGTGGTTGGGGGAAGAGCTGCAGTCCTGCTGCTCCTGAGCTCACTGCCACTCCATTCTGGGTCAGTGTGGTTTTATTTATTTGCTCCCTTGGATAACTGCACCTTGGGTCCCACTTTCTCCAGGATGCCAACTGCACTAGCTGTGTGCGAATGACGTATCTTGTGCATTTTAACTTTTTTTTCTTAATATAAATATTCTGGTTTTGTATTTTTGTATATTTTAATCTAAGGCCCTCATTCCTGCACTGTGTTCTCAGGTACATGAGCAATCTCAGGGATAAGTTCGGCAGCATCTCCAGGTCTGCACAGCAGAAAAATTTTTTGTCGTTTTATCACCATGGAGAGCAACTATTTGGAGTGCATAGCCTATTGAACTACCTCATGTTTGCCAATTAGAGCTGTCTTTTCTTCCATAGTATCCACTTGAAACCTCTTCCAACTTGAAAATGTTTCATGGGAGAGTATCTTCTAACTGGGTTGCCCCATGACTTGATCACCTTCTACTGGAGGATTAGAAATTACTCTAAACAGGAAAAGGTGGTGCAGAGGTTAGGTGAGGCTGGGCCAGGTGAAAGGCCCAGGGAGGAAGCCAAGGTTAGGTGAGGGTTCTCTAAACTTAGGGCACAGGACATGCTTCACATAACTGATCATCCTTCACTGGGTTGCGCTAGGCCTACCATGCACAACAGGGTGGATTTGTGTTTTTATAAAAACTGTGACTCGGTAAGCTTAAGTTTTAAGACCAATACCTCTGTACTCATCCCATGCTGTTGAGGGATGGACATATTATATGAAGCGAAGACTTAAATCGTTAAAATCTTTCAAAGTGTTTAGGTTCCAGGAAGACCCATAAAGCGAGGGCAATTTGTGGTGCCTGGAGCCAGTGTCCTGCCCTGCTGCAGTAGTGATTAATAGTGTTGTGGTAGCTAATGGAGAAAAAGGGGGTTTCGTTTACATGCTGTGAGATCACCGCAAACCTACCTCACTGTGTTGAAACGGGACAAATGCAATAGAACGCATTGGGTGGTGTGTGTCTGATCCTGGGTTCTCGTCTCCCCTAAATGCTGCCCCCTTCTAGTTATTGTATTTGTTTGGGCTTGGTAGGATTTTAATGAGTTGGTGTTTGCTAGGTGGCCTAGTTTGTGTAAATATAATGTGTTGGTTTTCATGTTCTTTTGGGGTTTTATTGTTTACAAACTTCTTTTTGTATTGAGAGAAAAATAGCCAAAGCATCTTTGACAGAAGGTTTTGCACCAGGCAAAAGGATCGGAAAGGTTAATTTGGAGAGGCCCTCTTCTTGAAGTGGGGATCTTGAACAGCAGCCTTTTGTTTGTATTCCCTTTCCCTATTTTCAACCAGATCTTCTGTCCTAAAAACTTGTCTCCTACCCTACTCTTTCCCATCCCCCCCAAAAGAATACCTACAGACTCACACACAAATGTATTTAATTCTTGGGGTATCACCACAACTCTTAAATGGTTGATGCAAAACTCCTGAAGAAGATAGGAACCCTCCACCCCTTGTTCCCAACCTCCTACATCAAGACCATTTCTTTTTGTTTTTGTTTTTGAGACAGTCTCACTATGTCACCCTCGGTAGAGTGCTGTGGCATCCCAGCTCACAGCAACCTCAAACTCTTGGACTTAAGCGATTCTCTTGCCTCAGCCTCCCAAGTGGCTGGGACTACAGGTGCCCGCCACAATGCCTGGCAATTTTTTGGTTGCAGTTGTCATTGTTGTTTGGCAGGCCTGGGCTGGGCTGGAACCTGCC